CAAAGATAATATCTTTGTGTGGGAGATAAAATCCTACCAAAAAGCACAGTAAAATATTTCCAGGTGTTTTGTGTAAGCAGCCAAAGGAGTCTTCCTTCTGCGTTTGTATATAGTTCCACAATTTTATAAGTATCTCGTTTTACTTCTATAAGATAGACACACAATTTAAAAGGGAAAAGGGGAAGGCATGGACTACGGGGAATGGCAAATACATCAGTCTGGCTGGATATGACATGAAACCAATATTAGAAAACCAAGCTGCAAAGGAAGGTTGCACTAGGTCGTGGAGGGGCCTGGGTGTCATTTTCAGTAGGCTGAGTTTGACGGCCAGCTAGCAGGGAACTCATGTAGTCAAGGGACGAGGTCCATGTGCAATGTTCTCCCTGCGAGCAGATCAGCTTAGAGTCTACCTTCCTAGAGCTATGAACACCTGGGGTGGTGCAGGCTTTCAGCTGCCGACATGCCAACGGGGAGACTGGTAGCTCGAGGGCATCCACAGGCACTTGAGAAGAAAGGCCTTGGGATCTTTAAAAAATCAGCATCAGAGTAGTTTAAAAAATAAGTAAATAAAGTTTGGATCTTTTATTCTTTTTAAAAATATTTTAATCATTTTATTAGGGGCTCATACAGCTCTCATCACAATCCAAACATTTATTCTTATAACAAAAATAATACACACTCAACATGGAAACAAATTCGAAAAGTAAAAGCATCCTCCTTCCCACTTACCATTTTGTGCATTTATTTCCACACAAACATTAGCTGTTTCCATCTAGCTTGGATGGGCGGTTTCTACATTTTAATTCCCCGCCCATTTCATTTAACATCATAAGTATGTAACTTTGTCTGTGATTACCCAAGCTAGAGGACCCAATTAGAGAAAATTCTCATGGATGGTTTTATTTACTCATGGCCAGTCACTGCCCAGGTAAGTACATGGTAGGTCAGAAAGGACACTGGAGTACCATGCAAGGTTAAAGAACCATGCTGAATCTGTAAACACTTCAGACATGTGTGAACCTGAAGGATATTATGCTAAACGGAATTAGTCGATCACAGAAGGACAAATATTGAATGATGTCACTTTTATATAAAGAGAGAGAGGGGTTCTCACATGAAAAGAAATGGACTTCAGAGATTACCAGGGGAGGGAAGGGAGGTGGGAAGAGGGAGTGACAGGCTAGGGGGAAGACAGTGTGAACTTGGGTGAAGGCAATACCCAACAAGAGGGAGATGGGCAAAAATGAGGGAAATGGAGCAAGACCATGGGAGGCTCAATGAGTTGTGGAATACAAAAAATGATCATTTTCTCTGAAAACCCTTGGCTAATCCGATGTGTAGGGATTTTGTCAATGAGGCACTCCTGACTGCTGATGAACTTGGTGTTACTAGAGCTGACAATACACTGAGCCACTTTCGTGAGATATGTGACTGTTTTCTTCATGGGAAGTTTCTGATCGAGTACATGGGACTCTAGTCTGACCCTTGTCCTGAGACATGTGTGAAAAGAAAGGCCTGTTGACGAGAGGTAACTGAATGACTTCCGTTCAATGAGAACCTTCCCGAAGAGTTATCTGCCTACAGAAGATTCCCTTTGTGCTCAACGGGAGAAGGAACTGGACTGGTTTCAGAGACTGACCACCATATGGCTTTGATTAGAGCAGCACACCACACTGGAAAACAGTAAGAACATTAGTGAGGTGTCTAAGTATGGGATCAGAGATTCCATAAGGGCTGTTGTTCATGGCGGGAACCAATCACAGTCGGCCAAAGAGACCCGTGTTCTCATGGAGTGTGGCTAATCAGTGTACTGATTGCTGAGGACTTTTTCCTAAGGGAAGAATCTCCTGGTCTTCCTGAAGCACCAAGGAGACAGGATACTCCTAGCTGAACGGACACACTACATGCCTGGCTCACGGCTGACCGAGGAGCCGAGTGGCAGGGAGACCACAATGTGTGTGCACAGCGAGAACATTTTCACCCAGTGTACCCCTAACTCACCCAAAATCACCATTTTTCACACCTGATTTCCTCATCTTCCAAACAGAGATTTTCATACCCATTTACCTCTCGGAGCTGTCATAAGAAGAGAAAGATCATCAACAAGGGGACTTCAAAAAATTCCTGGGAAAAATGG